GGTGTGTTTGGGAGTGGGGCGAAGGGGGTTGGTGTGTGGGGGAGTGGGGCGAAGGGGGTTGGTATTTGGGGGATTGGGGCAAGGGGGTTGATGTGTGGGGGTGGAGATGACTTGATGAAATATCCCTATCTTGATGACGTTGACTCTGTCTTGTTATGTTAAGTAGAAAAACAATACTGTACTAATAGTAATAAATGTATGTTGGCTGTCAACAGTACTGTAGTATAGTTGTAGGTTATGCATCTAAGCTACTATGCCGAGTAGCAACCTTGTAAATAAGCTACTGTGCCGAGTAGCATTTATATATATAATTACGTGGCAACACTGCACGTGTTATGTGGCAACATTGCCCCGAGGCTGCCATATGGCAGCCTCGGGGCAATGTTGCCACATAACACGTGCAGTGTTGCCACGTGTAATTACATATATAAATGCTACTCGGCACAGTAGCTTATTTACAAGGTTGCTACTCGGCACAGTAGCTTAGATACATAACCTACATCTCCCTCCCCCCTCACGCTCATAGTCTTTGTCTTGAGCGGACTTCTTAGTCCTAAGTCGCTCCGAGCGTCGAGGTGCACTGTGGGGCGGATCCTCGTGAGGTGTAGGTGACTCGTCCTCGGTCAGGGGGCCAGCAGCAGGGGGTGGGACTGGCCGGAGGAAGCGGCGGTTCCTCCACCAGACACGTCCGCTCGGCATCCTGACCTTGTAGTCCCGCGACCGGCCGACGCCCATCACTATGCCCACCTTGTCCCAACGTGTCGTCGTCTGGTCCTGGACGCGGACAAGGGCACCAATCTCCAGTGGCTGAACAGGGCGGGCACGGTAGTCATACCGAGCCTTGGCGTCCTGGGCACGTGTAGCGGCGCGGCGGTCGCAGCTCTCGGCTCTGGTCTGCCAGTCCTTCGCAAAGGCCTTGGCGTGTGCAGGAACGCAAGAGCGGAGAGGGTGACCATACAGGATCTGGGCAGGGGAGCGTCCTGTGTGGGTGGGAGTGGACGCGGGTTCTGGGCAGCTCTGTGTGGCAGCGCCAGGCGCGTCGCTCGTCGACTCACGCACCCTGCTGGCGGTGTAACGAGCAGCTGGGGTCTGCTCGGGAAAGTCTCTGGGTACCACGCATAACTCTTTGAGGTGCTCCCACGACAACAAGGGTGTAGCGAGAGTAGGCTGCACGTCGATCCATCCGTGACACGACCTGTCGCCGTAGGTGATCTCGGCTTGAAAGGAGCCCACAGCGTCCGGCATCTGGGAACCGTCCGCATTGTAGTACTGCAGCTGCGGCGGTGGTCCCAGGCCGCGTTTGGTGAGGCCCAGTTTCTGGAGGTGCTTCAACCCAATCACCGTTGTATCAGCGCCGGTGTCCGGTATCACCTCGATGTGACCCGACACATCACCGTGTGTGACGGCGACGCGGATGGTAGGGGAAGGGGTAGCCCTGGGGCGTGTGGTCGATTCCACCCTCCTGATGTGACTCCGCTGCTGCTTGGGGCTGCGTGGACCATCTGGAGGGGGCTGCGTGCGAACCACCCCGAGGGAAGTGCGCTGCTTTCCTCCTCGTCTCGAGCTTTTGGGCTTGGGTTGGTGGCAGCACTTGTCGTAGTGTCCATAGCGACCGCAGGCCTGACACTTGCGGCCTCGTGCAGGGCACCTGTCTGTGTTAGACCAGTGGCCCTTACGGTCACATCCACGACACAGTGCGTCGGCGGCTGGGCATGTCTTGGGGCTGTGCTGCTTTCCACAGCTGCCACAGGAAGCACTAGGCGGAGGCGTGGAAGAACGTGTGGCAGCCTTCGCGTTGTTGGCCGCCTTCTTACCCTTCTTGTATTGTGAGATAGCTCTCACAGCAGGTGGGGCCCGTAAGGCAGAGGTGGCGGACTTGGTGGCCTCGTATGACCGACATTCAGTCACTACCACCTGGAGTGTGGAGGAAGCGTCCAGTGGGATGAGTCGCTGCACCAACTCTTCTTGCCTGACACCTGTCAAGATCCCGTGCTTGATCCAGGCTTCCTCACATTCCCGGCTGTGCGCCTTGCAGACGTCGATCTCCTCCGACAAACTCTTAAAGCATACAAAAAAGTCGTCATAGGATTCATTCTCCGCCTGCTTGCAGCTGGTGAAGGCGCAGCGACGCAGGGCCTCGTTATTCCGACCCTTAACGTGCTCCTGCGAAAGGTCGAGCACATCCGTCACTGAAGATGTAGAATCGGGAGGCACTTGCAACGTGTGCTCCAAAACTCTCTGGGTCTCCAGCGACAAACACATCCGCAGTTGGATGAGCTGTTTGTTTGGAGGCATGCTGTCAAGGTCCACCATCGTGGAGTAATCTGTCCAACGCCGCCTCCACTCACGAAAAAGCTGAAACGTGACGTCTGGTGAGAGGGCAGGTGGGGGTTGAACAGATGCCTTGGGAGCTGTTTGTTTGGAGGCAAGAGTACCTGGAGGACGCTGGTGTGGTGGAGGAGGGAGAATATTGGCGCCTTGATGCGCGCTACCTGCGAGTGAGGGAGGGTGGGTTAGCGCCAGGGTCGCCAACAGTGCCTCAAAACGCAACTTTTCCTCCTCTCTTCGTGTCTCCTCCCTCTGAAGTTCCATCTCTCTGCGTCTCTCGTCCCGGTCGTCCATCCACCTCAGAATTGTGGCAATGTCCGTCACTGGAGGTGGAGGATGAGAGTCTGCGCCCGGTGGAGGGGAAGGTGGTGGGGATTCGTGTCTCCCATCTTGACGTTGTCCCTTCTTACCGCCCATCTTAGTGTGTGCGTGGACTGCATTGTTTAGTATATAAAGTGGCGCCTCAACAGCTCGAACCACATATATATGACATAAACAGCGCAGAAATAACGCATAGAGTCCACTGTTCTGTCCATGAGTGAGTGCGTGCGTGCGTGTGTGTGTGTGTGTGTCTGAGACAGCAGATGCACTTCGTGGTGGCCTTAATGCCGGTGGCTAGAGACGCGGCGGGGGGGTGAGATCGTCAGTGTCTCCCGGGATGTCACACGAGAAGGGTGTACGCCTGCATACTCCGTGGGTACCACAAAAAACAGGCCAATGCTCAACTCTCAGCTCTAGACACACACTAATACACTGACACTAACACTGCCACCGTCACTAAAACGCACTGTGACGGAGCAACACTGCACGTTGCAGCGAAACACAGCGCAACACAACACAACACACTATGAGTCGACGCGCATATCGCCGGCAGATGTAACCGTCGGCATTGTTCGCACACTTGTAAGTCCACAGATCCTACTCACTGCGCCATGATGGTTACAAGTGTTCCCCGAAGAATGCAGTGATGGGTAGGGAAACACCGGGTAACACTGAAGTCCGTTTATTACGGATGAGAGAAATACAAGTGGTGACTAGCGTGTGCCATGCACGGCTCACACAGTCAGACTGAGACTGCCTTGCCATATGGCAGCCTCGGGGCAATGTTGCCACATAACACGTGCAGTGGTGCCACGTAATTATATATATAAATGCTACTCGGCACAGTAGCTTATTTACAAGGTTGCTACTCGGCACAGTAGCTTAGATGCATAACTTACAATAGTAGTTACTCTGTGGCTGTATTAACTCGGTAACTGCATTGTCACCTCACAGCAGGTTTTGTACGACAGGAAATGTGCTACCAGCTATAGTCTTTTGACACACCACAGCAGCTCTCTCTCTCTCCCTAGTCGTCATGTTCTATATTCCCACAGCTGAACTGCATTAATGTCACCTGTATCAGCATTAAGTTAAAGAGTTGTGTAACTATTAGTAGCATAAATGTGATATTTTACTCACTATTAAACTTTGAACATAGAGAAGTGTGGGGGGAGACAGGGAGGGGGGGGGGGGTTAAAAGGCAGCACTGTAAGGAAAACACACCTGCATTGACCCGCCCCCGATGTCCTCCTCCTCCCAACACCAGATAGTGAAACAAAGAGGTTAAAAAAGTCACACACACCAGTCAGCCCTCAGGGAGACAAGATGTGTCCTGTAAGTGCTCCTGATTGGCAGCCAGACCAAGTTTATTTAGCCCTGCCCCTCCCCCTTCTATATACCAACTCCCTACCAACCCCACTACACCAGGATTTATCAGCAAAACATTCATGTGATTAGTGCAATGACTGGTTGCCAAACAGTGATCCTATAGTGTACTCAAGGAAAAACACAAAAACAGCATGATTCACAGCAGTGTTTATACCAGACCGTGGGCACTTGGTTTGTCACTTTCAAAGTGCTCCTGAGAAGGACCACCGCGGTGTTTACATATACCGTGGGTACTGTGTCGGCGACCCCTTAAATGCCGGAGACAAGGGCTCATTGTTTACAACTTGACAATATTAACAGATGTCTACCGGTGTCAGTGGCTCTCAAAGTGCCGCCATTGAGGTTATGGCCACCGTGAACAAACACTTCCGTCCGTCCAACAACAACATATGTTCACCGGTTCCATGACAAAACCCCAACGGACAAAACCCCAACGGGGTTGTCATTTGTCAACACTAACCTAACCTAACCCAGGCTAAGCTAACCTAACCTTACCTAACCTAAGCTTAAAAGTGTTTTATTTTTTATTTTATATATGGGACTGGGGTTTTGTCCGTTGGGGTTTTATCCGGTCACCATGTTCACCAGTGACTTACTCCTCTCTGATGTGCCTTGTACAGATATCCTGTTGGCAGTGTTATCGAGTGACTAAAATCACTGAACATATTCCATGCTCACAGCCATAGATAAGGTCACAAAAAGAAGCCCGTTAGGATCATTACCTCCACTAGAAAACCAGAGAAACCTATTGTAGTATAGTGACCAGAGCAGCTGACAGTTGAAGGGGAAGTGCATGATTTATTACATTCATCATTATTTTCATCATTATCATCACTACCAATAATAATTAACTGTATCACCTAACTTCAGGCGAACACCTATAGAACATGTCTAAGAGAACTTTGTGTCATCTCTCCCATGAACCAACTAACTTTATCTCCTACCTGTCCCCCCCCCCCCAGGAGACGGAGGAGACGGGGAAGAAAGTGATCTGTTTCATCAAGTTAAGCGCCCCCTGGCCTGTCCTCTGTCACTTTGCTGAGGAGCTCAGTATGAGAGCCCCATTACAGGTGAGTACTGGGTGGGGAGGAGGTAGGGGGAAGAGAAAGGGAAGGGAGGGAGGATCAGAGAGGGGGAAGGGAGTAAAAGAGAGAAGGGAAGTATGAGGGAGGGAGAGAACTGTAATCCATCGAAGTTGTTCCTCTTAAAACTATCAATAATGTGTCACCTTGATGCAGGAAACACTAACATAACAATAATAAGCTCCAAACACTGTGTCGGTATTATCTTACGTGTTAATAATTTTCCTCCTAACTTGGTGTTGCAGGTTCTAATGGCCGGTGTGTTGCAAAACATAAGACGAGTTGACCACCCAATCCTTCCTGTGAGTTGGACAGTGTCACGCAGTGCTAAGTCCGCCGCTTTGTTGTAATTCAGCTTTCAACTACAGTATAACCTAACTTAATCTATCCTAGACTAACCTAACCTAAACTGACCTGACTTGAACTAATTTAACCTTACTTCTTCCAGTTGTAATGACAAGAACTAATTATTTGTACTAACATCTTTGTGTGGTAATATAATTATATAAAAAATGTGGTGATAACGATGGTAGTGAGAGTAGTAGTGGTGGTTGTGACAACGGTGGTGGTGGTGGCTAGTTTCACACACACACACACACACACACACACACACACACACACACACAGATCTTTTCATTATGTTTCCTGTAAACAACTTGAGGGACTTGTGTTATTCAGGTAACTTGTCTTCATTATACCCCCTGAGGAGCTTTTGTGTCTCTCTTGTAGCCGTAGAGGCCAGTAAGTGTCAGGACCTATTGTAGTTATGATATAGTGGTTTACCAGTGAGTGTCAGGACCTTTGTGAGGGTGCCAGGACCTATTGTAGTTATGATACAGTGGTTGTGTGTTAGTAACAGTTTCGTTGCACCTTGACTTGTTATGATGTTTGTCAACTTTATCACACGAGTAAACATGATGCTTCTCTTCCTGCAGCTTCACGCCAGCCTCAAGGTGGACCTTGATGTAGTCTGCTAGCTATACTGCTTATACAACAATACTCACTTTTAACTTCTTCCTCGGGCAGCCAGTTTGGAGTTGGACCTTGTCTATAACCTAACATATATCTCTTGCTTTGAGTTTAACATCAATATACAACAGTGTGGAGGTGGACCTTGACTATAACCTAACATATATCTCCAGTTGTCAGATTAACATCATTCAACTGTTCATCTCTGTGGTGGTAGACTTTCATTAATCTTTAACCTCTTCCTCAGGCACACAACAACCCCTCCACCAACTGGTCTGAAGTCATCCTTGAGCGGATCCGTCTCCCTAACCTGATGGCCGAGGATGTACCCAATAAACCTCTCGATTACTTCACCTGCGCCTTCAAGAAGTCCAAAATAGACAGGTAAGGTGGTGGTGTCGGGAGGTCCACCTTGGCTCACCCTCTCACCTATGTGTTGCTTCACATTACCCAGGTTTCGAGTCAGTAGGTCTTGCCTGCTGCTTGAGATCTTGAGCCGATGGGTCTTGCCTGTTGTTTGAGGTCTTTAATAAGTGGGTCTTGCCTGCTGTTCAAGGTCTTGAGTGAGTAGGTCTTGCCTGCTATTCGAGGTCTTGAGTGAGAGGGTCTTGTCTGCTGTTTGAGGTCTTATGTCAGTAGGTCTTGCCTGCTGTTCAAAGTCTTGAGTGAGCAGGTCTTGTCTGCTGCTTGAGGTCTTGTGTCAGTAGGTCTTACCTGCTGTTCCAGGCTTGAGTGAGCGAGTCTTGCCTGCTGCTTGAGGTCTTGAGTGAGCAGGTCCTGCCTGCTACTTGAGGTCTTGAGTGAGCAGGTCTTGCCTGCTGCTCAAGGTCTTGAGCTAGTGAGTCTCGCCTGCTGCTCCTGCTAGATCACATAAACAAAGTGTTGTGTGGACAGTGTTAAAGTAATGACTGGTGTGGTATGATCCACTCACTTGCACTTATTCCCTTGTGGCTCTCAGAGTAACACACATGAGATAATGTATATTTATTTTATTATTATTATGCATGAGATACCCAAAGGCCACACTGATCTGCATCGTAGAGTAATACTGTATTGTAGGCTTTGGCACACTGCCGCTCACATGCAATAAACCATTAAAGTAGTCATCCTATAAGGCTTTCATAAAACTTGCTGTATTGTAAGTCTGTCATAAAAAAGTTCTCTTGTTGTATAATGCTAAAAGAAGGGGATTCACACGATGCCTTAGACACTCCATTTTGTCGGCTTAAACTTGAAGTGTGATCCTTGTAGAGCTTCTCACAGTGTCCATCCCCAAGTAAAGTGTAATTTCAATCAAGTGACTTATAAGCTCCACAAGTCAGTCACGGCTGTTCTTGACTAACTCAGTTTCTTCTCCTCTTTTTCTTTCTCCTCCTCTAGAAAAGTCATAACCAAGTGAGCACCAATTATTTTTTTCTTTTGTTGGCCAGACGACGACAGTTCCTTTGATAACTTGTGCTGGGGCACCATTATTCCTCTCCCTCTTGTAGGATCTTCACCATCACTTTACAATGAGTCCTTAAGGAAGTTTGGTAGTCGTGGTGCAGGAGCCTTTCTTCCTTCCCCCACTACTTTGTGTCTGCAGGGAAGACCTCGGTCGGCATCACAACTCGGACTCAGTGGTTCAGCAACACCATCTTGATGGCTTAGTTGTCTCGGCCGCTGCTCCACGATGATGAGATGTAATCAAAGTTTAAGATTAGCCATCCAGCTTATTTTCACCTTAAGATTAATCATCCTGATGCTAACCTAACCTAACCTACCCTAACATATTCTAACCTAACCAAACATATTTAACATAACCTAACCTAGCCAAGTCTAGTCGAACCTAACATGACACAACCTAACTCCGAGCTAGCATTAGGGTGTTTAATCTCAAGTGAAATAAACTAGGTTGTCTAATCTTCAGGTGGTGCAAAAGTTCAACATCATCTTCAAAATTAATTCCAAAAACTTATCCTTAGATTAGGTTAAAGTGACAGAGAAACTCAATAATTACACTGAGACTTAATAACTGTGGAGAGGGAATATAAAGTTAATCATTTGCGTTCATGACTTATCAAAGACTCTGGCGTCAACCCCTTCTGCACACTGTATCTTGCTTCAGTCTTAATATGATCGTTATCAGCTGGTGTGTGGAAACAAACAAAGGAGCGTTGAATTACTGAGTTGTGGTGGAGACTTTGACATGTTTACTTCTATATCTAAAGTACATACCGGTAATGATTTTTATTTGGTTTTGACTCTTAGTGGGCAATAAGAAGTTAGTTTCTGTTTTGACTGCTGTACTGTTCTTGAACTTTTACCACAAACTCGTTGGACGTCGGTAATAATGAACGTCTGAATTAAGATCGTGCACAGCAGTTTACACACACCAGCGTCCCTTTTATCTTTGTATTATGTCACTGAGCATGTGCATGATAATGATTTAGCTGTAGAGAATGGTGGAAATGACTTTGATGGACTTAGAACTTACTTACATAGTTCTAGTAAAGACTGGGGAATTAGAACTTTTGAAGCGACTAAGAGTGAATTAGAACTTAATTTGTATCTTTTTTGAGGTGACAGAGTTATTTAAACCTAACCTCACCTAAGCTCATTAAGCTGACATTACTAAGCTGTATAAACTGACACTTTTAAACTCTTTAAATTGACCTTATGAAATTCCTCCAATGTTCCAATGTTTTTTCTTCCATTTATTAATGTTATTTAGTTTATTTTTAATGTTTGTCATACATTTGCTTCTGCCTCTTGTTTATTGTCTGTTTATCTCTATTCCCCTTTATTGTAGACTTATCATAGTTAAAACAAAGGGATGTATTGTAGACTATTGTACTGAACTTTGTTGTTTGTTAATGACTTATGGGAAAATTTGATACTTTTTTCACTGTGGATAAAGTACCAATTAGGAATGCTGGAACAATGCTGGAATGTCTGGATAAAGTAACAATTAGGAATCCTTGAACAGTACTGGAATGTCTGGAACAATACTGGAATGTCTGGAGTAATACTGGAATATCTGGATAAAGTAACAATTAGGAATCCTGGAACAATGGGATCTGTCGTGTCTAAACTTTACAGCAACTACAGATTTCACAACATTCCTGCACAGCTTGAGTAGGAAAGCTTAACTGCTGTATTACTTGAATAGGAAAACTTAACTGCTGTATTACGTGAATAGGAAAGTTTAACTGCTGTATTACTTGAATAGGAAAGCTTAACTGCTGTATTACTTGAATAGGAAAGCTTAACTTGTATTACTTGAATGGGAAAGCTTAACTGCTGTATTACTTGAATGGGAAAGCTTAACTGCTGTATTACTTGAATAGAAAAGCTTAGCTACTGCAATACTAAAGTATGAAAGCTTAATTGCTGCATTACTTGTGTAGGAAAGCTTAACTACTACATCACTTGTGTAGGAAAGCTTAACTACTACATCACTTGAGTAGAGAAAGCTTAACTACTGCTTAATTATTGCATTACTTGAGTAGGGAAAGCTTAAATTACATACAGTATTACTAGTAGACAATACAATTTCCAGTTGGATAAATTTAGTAAAAAGTAATATTTTCTAACAAACTACAAATATTACACCTAAACCGTAGACGGGAAACTCCTTTACGTAGTGGCGTCATCTATTGAACATAAGCATAAATATCTCGCCCACAAAAGAAACCTAATCATAGTAAAATTGACCTTCCTGTGTGCTTTTACTACAGTCTCAGAGCAAATTTGGCACCATTTTAGGTCTGGTATTTTTGTGGTATATATGTGAGTCAGGTAGGTATTTGAAGTTAGTGGAGATATTTAACTAAGGTATATGTGAGAATCTTCTTTTTGGGGAGTTTTATGGGCTCGGGAATGTCTGGAGCTACTAATTTGTACCTGGCATGTTAAAAGCTTCTTATTTTTTTCTTTTTTTACGGGGAATAGCCCACCTGGGGACACACACGCACCACACACACACGCACCACACACACACGCACCACACACGCACGACACACACACCACACGCACACACACACACACACACACATCACACACACACACACCACACACACACCACACACACACACACACACACACACACACACACACACACACACACACACACACACACACACACACACACACACACACACACACACACACACACACACACACACACACACACACACACACACACACACACACACACACACACACACACACACACACATACACACACACACACACACACACACACACACACACACACACACACACACACACACACACACACACACACACACACACACACACACACACACACACACACACACACACACACACACACACACACACTACACACACACACACACACACACACACACACACACACACACACACACACACCACACACACACACACACACACACACACACACACACCACACACACACACCACACACCACACACCACACACACACACCACACACACACACACACACCACACACACACACACACACCACACACACACACACACCACACACACACAAATAAGGGTCATTCCTATACATAATTTACATTTAAAAATAAAAAATATATATTAACAACCCATTTTAAGACAATAAATAAAATAAACATGAATAAGATGAGAGCTTTTGGAAAATATTAGGAAAACTCTGATAAAGAAAAACAAGAACTACTCAGAAAATAAAAGGTGACCCAGAAGACTTTGAGAATGGGAGTAAAGAAAATAAATATAAATACTGTACTGAGAAAACGAGGAGAAGAACCGCATTGTTTACATCCTCTTTCCCGCCCCAAAATCAGTCGGTATAGATAAAATATTTTGTATTATACCTTTTTATACCTTGATTGCGAAAGGTAATGATAATCAAATTAATATCTTTTTGTTCAGTCTAATTAAGCGCATGATGATACTGTATATGGTGTTGTAAAAATATTGTACAATTCTCTAATGGGTTGTAATAAGTTGTTTTTTAAGTTTACAGTAAGATTACACTATTGAGGAGTTGTGAGTATACTGTTGTAAGTTGTATTATGTTACCAGAGTCACACAGAAAGAAGACTCATTGTAAGAGTGGTTGTACTTATTCTGGGAAAATTTATGAATTTTTGTCTTTATTTTCTTTATCATAAACTTTGACTCTAGATGTTCATTGTTAAAAAGAATATATTTATACTTATAACTGCCCAATGAGCAACTGTGGGATAATGAGATCCTTGCACGTAGGACTCGATTGTTCTTTATTCAAGTCCTACGTGCAAGAGTCTCATTATCCCACAGTCGCTCATTGGGCGGTTATAGACAAAACATGTTTCTGGTCTAATGTAGGACTTATTAACTCCCTGGCTTGATGGCTCACTGGATGGCTAGAGACTAGTCGAGCTAGTCAACCCGAGGCGAGGGCCATCTGTTTCACATTTAACACCTCAGCAAAGCTCGTTGTCAACACTCCCTCTGTCTCTCTCTCTGTCTCTCTCCTGTATCTCTCCTGTCTCTCTCCTCTCTCTCTCTCTCTCTCTCTCTTTTCTAGTTTATCCTACTGTGGCGGTAACACTCCCCCTGTTGAGCTTGCTCGAAACCCATTGTCTGCCGGGCGTCTCACTCTCCGACTCCCTCCAATAGGCAGAGCTTTGTCACTAGACGTCTTCACTTCTGCACGCCACACCAGGCCGTCATCACTCGGTACCGCCTCCAATACCCTTCCTAGCATCCATTGGCTCCTTGGGAAAGGATGTCCAGATATGATGACGATGTCCTCAGTGCGGACGTTGTGGTGCGCCCGGAAGTGCTTCTGTCGCCGCCGGCGTGTCAGAAGATATTCCTTCACCCCACCTCTTTCAGAATTGGTCTGCAATGAATTGGGCATGCTTCCATTTTCGTCGGTACGCTTTTGCTATGGACCGATCGCCTCCAATGGGCAGGGTTCCCGCGTGCATTCGCAGTAGGTGAAGCGGAGTGAGTGCTTCTAGGTCTCTCGGGTCGTCGGATACTGGGGTGATGGGCCTCCCGTTGGCGATCTCTTCCACGGCACAGAACAGGGTGTTGAGTCGCTCGTCGTCTAGTACTTGTGTGCCCATCACCCCCTGGAGAACCTTCTTCACCGTGCGGATCTGACGCTCCCATACTCCACCCATGTGAGAGGCATTTGAAGGGTTGAGCTTTATTTGAGTCCTACATGCAAGAGTCTCATTATCCCACAGTCGCTCATTGGGCGGTTATAATCAAAACGTGCTTCGGGTCTAATGTAGGACTTATTAACTCCCTGACTTGATGGCTCACTGGATGGCTAGAGACTAGTCGAGCCAGTCAGCCCGAGGCAAGGGCCATCTGTTTCACATTTAACACCTCAGCAAAGCTCGTTGTCAACACTCCCTCTGTCTCC